TTTTTATAGTTATTCAAGGCTATATTATTTATCTTTGAGAGACAATAGCTATCCCTAGTACTAGCTTTCGACGCCTTTATTAGGGAGCCTCATTTTTTTCTCTAATTCATTATCAACTTAGTGAGTTTTGAGACTATGAACCTACCTTATCTTACTGGTACTTGCACTTTGATATTTTTGACAACCTCCAATCTGATGGCCTAGCTTCCAACAATAGAAATATAATCCTTTTTGTACCCATATTTGTCGTTTTTATGGTGTCAATGATTCTTATAAGGCATCAATCTCTATTGGAATTGATTGTTATGCAGTAATATTAGATAATAGCATAAGACTTTGTGCTATAAGTTGTGTTCTATAATTTCTAAAATCTTTAGCATTGATCCTCTTTGCAATCCAAATTGAGTCTTCAAATGTTTATGGATCCTTTAGTTCCACCTCTTGTTAGATTCTAAGTTTCAAACCTTATAAGAATCAATCTATTATCTCTGCCTTTGAAATATTGCCAATTTGGAGACATAGAAACTTGAATCGAGAGACATAATCTTACACTAACCTAGCTAATGAAAGATTTATCAACTAATTGTGTGCTATTTTTTTTGCATTGATGAGCCAAAATTGATTCCTAAACTTGGTCTCAAATTCCTCCTAGCGACAAAATCCACCTTGAACTCTATAACTTTGAACTTGATCTTGCTACCAAATAGTTGCCACATCTTTCAAATAGCTAGCTGCATATATAATTCCTTCAATGGTATTTGCTCTAGATAGTTAGAGGTATTATCACATGTTGAAGAGCCATTGACATATATCTTCTTGTCTTGAATTTCCAGAGTATGAACTAGGCTTATTCAATTTCAACCTAGCAAATGTTGACTTCTTTGTCCTTGAGGCTTCTATTTGCCTTTGCAAAGTAGCTATTTAGCCTAAGAGGTGTTGTATTTGAGCCTCCATCTTTGATTGCTCTACCATGTCTCTCATATTATAATTTCTCCGTTGAATTCTACTATTATAATATCTTTTCTCCTCTTGATTGACTTTTTAAGAATAGCTTGTGGTAGCTTTAATATAATATCCAGTGTAACCACAATAACTGATCTTGTACTAAATAATGAGTATTGACATGCTACCAAAAATAAACAGTTTAAGACTTGATCTAATACCTATGAAACAAGACTAAATTATCTCAAAAAAATTTAAGATCATTCTATTCCACAACAATATATAACTTTATCACAGAATAGGACAAAACATACTAAAACAAAATTAAATGGAACTAAACAAAATAAGACATGAAAGACAAACTGAGTAAATGAAAATAGAATAAAACTTAATTGAATTAAAAGATGCAAAACCAAACTTTACTTAGAAAAAGGGTCTGAAGCCATACTTGACCAAATGCTCCAAAAGGCCCTGGCCAGTCCTATTTGTATCTTATTCTAATACCCTCGACTTTCTAAAATGTTCTTAGGTGGTGGATTCTCTCTAAATAACTACCTTAAATTTCTTTTTTAGAAGGTTCTATGGTGGATTCTACCTAGATAACCGTCCTAAGCCTTTTCTAAAAGATTTCATGATGGACTCCACCTAAATAACCGCCCTAAACTCTTTGTAGAATGTTCCACGATGGGTCCTTGGTGGTCTATTAACCTAATCCTAGTTCTAGAAACTTCCATGGTTCTATCTATTTATGCAATTATCTTATCTATATCCTTTTACATTAGCCTTCTATAATGGGGATTTTATCAATTCAAATATTTTGTCTATTATTGATGTGCATGAATATAGTCACATATTTCATGATTTCTTCTACATTCAAAACATGGGCCTAATTATAAGAGTTGATTGCTTGGTCTTCTATTATGTTGTAGATAGAATGTATTGCATTTAATTTCCTTTAATTCTATTATTGCTATAGTTGATTTTTTTCAAGTATAATTTAGTCAATTGTCTGGATTTAAGGAATCCTACTAATAGCCTCTAAAGTATATTTTATGGCAACAATTACACTTTACCAACATTCTATTTGAGTTCTTTTGTTTAGATTCTTGTGCAAATAACATGGTGCATTCACTTTCAAGGAAAGTCTCAAGCATTTCTTCTATACTTTTAAGTCGTATATACATCATCTATTATTTGATGCTTGATAGTGAGCCATATTTGAACACTAGGTCTAGATGAAGTCAATAAAAATGCTATCAAGTTTTTCCACAAGATTTGCAAATCAATCTAAATAATCTTCTAGTATCTTATAACTAGCTTGTTTAATTTTTGACAATCCCAATATGATGCCATCATTAGTTTTTATGCACCTGAATTATTTCACAAAGCTTAGTTCAAACTCCTCCCAAGTAGCCTTAGAATGCATATGGACAAACAATAAAAATCACGTACTATCCACTTCTTATAACATTGTTTGAAATATTTATTTCAATATTTTTAATGATGTGACTCTGTTAAATTTCATTGTAATTAAGTATATTTAGATGTGTTTATCAAGATCACTTATGCAATTATACATTGAATACTTTAAGCCGAATTGTCTCAAATTGATTATTATTGCTTGGGTTGAAATAGATGCCATAGGTGGATTTCTTTTGTAGGATTTGGCCATGTCCTTCTTCTATTTCTAAACTTAGTTGCTATATTTGAAATACTTAGGACTCAAGTTGTGAACTTTGAACTACTTGTATGAGTTCTTCACAATGTTAAAACATCTCTTATAATGTTGTTTTTATATAGTCTTCCATCACCGTAGTATATTGTTATAACCAACTTTGTAAGTCCTTAATTCCTTTGGAATTAATAGTAATCTCTTCTAAGTTGTGCTTGTTGGACTTGGTTGGCTAAAAGGAGATCTTTCCATATCCTCTCTTACTCTAATTTCTTTGCTCATTTTGCTTGTAGATCTTGTATTCATCCTCGGTCAAGTCTCTCAAGGTTTTATCATGCAATGCTCCTTAGCATAGTCACTAAATGTTACTTGGACTTTTGAGGTTACTATCAAGCATGAGACACGACCTTACAAGACTAGAATCAATACACACAATGATTAGAAAAAAAAAAAAATGATAGTTTATTGTTCAATTAGAAACTACACGATCTTCGGCTCAATACTAATTTGACTTGTGGTGTTACTTTGTAGGGTTCACTATGTAATGAGTTACTTCTTTATTATCTATTAAGTATTTTTTGCAACCCTTAAGAACCTGTCTACCTCACTATGTCTCTTGTTAATCTTGATGGCCTTATAATGGCACCTTATTTCTTTGCTTATCATTCCTCTAATCCCATGTTTTTAAGAAATTTGGATAGGCATCATTTGTGGTGGATACATCTTCCTTAGATGGATAACACCTTTGCAGTTGAGTATAGATACTTTGGGCAAGTAACAATATGAGGTTTCAACTAATTGGTTTGTATGTAGAAAAATTGGTTCTATCATAATCTTGACTAGTTTTTGTCCAAAATTTAATTCACTATGTAGGGAACTTTTTGAGACATTTAGGATTATTTGTGGATTTACCAATGCATCGGCAATCAATATATTACTGGAAAAAGTTGGTTTCTATTGGTCTTGGTGGATACTATTTACTGTTACCAGACTTTAGATGCAATCTTTTCAAAATCACAAGTTACTTTGTCATCATTTAGATAAGGCGGTTGGTTCTGAATGATTTACGTTGATTTTTCTTGCTTTGTCCATTAAGTTAAACCACTTGATAGAACACTTGAGATAAATCCGTCTAAACATTTTAAACCTAGAAGTGTTCATGGTGATCATGATCTTAGATTCTTTACTCGAACGAACGATGACGGTTCGAGTGAAGGCTTTGACCCTAGGGTAATAGCACACAGCCCAGAGGTGTAGGCCAACAGCAAATTGCACTCACTCTCGAACACTTGCACGGACTCGCGGCTCCATGGGTGATCGAGGCATTCCAACCCGAAGGCTATGCTGAGAAATATGAACGACACCTCCAGAGGCAACGGTAACGCACTCCTAGTCCCGCTAATCAGTGCAATTACAGTGTACACCCAAAACGCGATCAACGTAGTGCAGTGCTCAAAGGCGGTGAATCTGTTTAGAAAAGTCACCATCTACAATGGCATGAAATTTGATGGAGACGCACAGTGCATAGAAGTTTTCCACTGAAATGAACGTCACCATAGCAAAGAGCTCAATATAATTCCCTCGATTCAGCAGGCAATTCGCGTAATGCCAAACCCTAGCGACGCAATCTCTTGGCAACGTGACATTGTTTGAGAACATTGCCAATAGACGCAGCAGTCCTCACGCGACGAGCACAGCGGAGGGCACACTATGGCCTACGGCAGTTTAAGCAATCCCACTTTACGTCTATTCCACAGAATCCTGCCCCACTGCTCGTGCACTTGTGGGTCCCGAAAGTGCAGGTATGAACGATGACGAAGATGTGCTTTACAATAGAATATTTTGAAATTTTCAGGTTTTCGGCGACAGATTCTTCATTACTGACCGGGAGGCAGAAGTTCCAGATGCATTATTTGCTGACTGTAGATCCGTTTTTATCTATATTTAGACAATGTCTCTGCGACAGGATTCTTGTCGAGTCCCAGGCTTCACGGTGTCGCAGATGGAACTGGGGAGTTGGAAGTTGGCCTGTCAGCTTCCAAGACTGAGGAACAGAACTGGGAGAGTGGGGGACTTGGGGAAAGAGAAGGTCTTCCAGATGCAGGAGGTAGTCTTCCGTGCATGCCACAGAGCTACAACAGACTGCGCCATGTCTAATGATTCTGTGTGCAGCACCATTCTACGCTGCAGGTAAAGGGGCGGCTGCTGCGGGCCAGAGGAAGCTTCAAAGTATGGGGTTGAGCTGGATGGTGGTACAGGCAACGCGGACGAAGTCGGAGGAGGTAGTGGCGGTGTGGGGAGCGAGCGGAAGTGGGGGATGCAGATCATTGGTTGGCACTCTATCATCCCAACAAGGTTAGTACCTTACCGATGTAATGGTGAAGCATTCTCTGGCCATGAGGATGCTATTCATAATCCCAATCATCCCTGAAGTCCTTTGCAACTTTTTGCCACTTAAGCCTCTTTGCATGCAGTTCGCTTCTCATTGAGGAAAGTGTTCTGAATCACCTGTGCAATGTGCAACAGCTCGTTTTTGAGAGGGAGCTTAAAGAGGTTGCTTTTTCCATAGAATCCTAGTTGCAGTTCATAGAATGTAAATTCTGAGATTGCATTTTCTTTATTTGCCAATCATTCTCGTGCACGTTTGAGGATGGTGAGTTTGTTACATGGGGAGAGCAAGCGAAAGGGAGGTTAGAAACTTGGTTGGTCTTTAGCGTATTGGCTTGGCGACATTGGTCCTTTCTAGCTTCCACTGAGCGTTCGCAACGTGCTCCAGAGCCAGAAAGTTCTCTAAAACCCTGAGATGCGAGCTCGTCTTGGTGTAACTTGTAGTTTGACAACGACTGTCACGGGGAAGAGAAGACATGCAGACATCCACCTGAAATCTAGGTTTGTCCCTAAATTTCTACGCATCGGCTGCGCCAATTGCTACCAACGTAGAAATCATCTTAACTTTCCGGAAATAAATTGTCTTTGTGGGAGAGACAGCCTGTGAACGCTGGGGATGACCGATCACATGTATGGTATTGTGTCGTGAAAGCCCAAGTTTATGAACAGAGATTTTTCAAAAGTTTACATTCTGATTCTCCTACTCGTTTAGGCATTGCAAAATGAAAATAATGAGCTGCGACTAAAAATCATTGTAGAGAAAATTTCTGGGAAGAGCCATTTTGGGGTGAAGTATCCTGTGATCCTGTGATCAATGTCACTCCTGACGCAATCGGAAATCCCGAAATCTGAGCTTACAGTGGAAGTGGCGATAGAGATTCACTGAAAAGTATCAGAGGTTGTCAATCCAAGCCTCAACATCAAAGTGAAGCAGACACCATGCTCTAGGTTATCGTTCACTGTAGTTTTTAATCATGTTTGGTGAGCTACTGTCAGTAGATGGTTTTTTTGCACTTTGTCTGACTTGTTTCTTGATTCTCCCAAGGATTGAGATAAGAAAATTTGTGGTTGATATTTTGAGGAGCTTTCACTTGAGTGATTGTGAAGACAATGATAAAAAAAATCCTATGTTTCTGGTGTTTTAGAAAGTGGACCTTGGCAGCAAATTAGAGGGCTCACATGTGTGACAGAATTACGCTAAAATGAAGCGTCGAAGTAGCTGGGTGATGTGAAACAGGACTGAACAAGGATCCCATGTTCTTGTATAGATTCTGGCCATCACGCTGGCTTCACAATGTTAAATGAGTTCTAAAGTTGTATCTGGATGGATGCGGCTGTACAGAAACAAGTTATTATCTTTTACAATAAGGAATAAGGATCTTGGCCAAGTACTTCTACTAGTTTTACTGTTATGTCAGTGGTAATAGCTTTTGCTAGTGCTAAGTTATTTATCTTTACTAACTAAAAACAAAGAAGAGAAATAACGTTGATAGACTGTTGTTTCTGCAGGGGTGTAAACAGATGGCTCGCATGGATTGCATTCGAAAACCCGCATTATCCAAGGCACTAAAGAGCGTTGGATTTTATGCATCATTGCAGAGGAGATGGATTTTAGTGGTGATTCTGGTCCTTGAAGTGTTGATTCCAGGCAATGACGCTGTTGTAGGAAACCATGCGGATATAGACACGTACATAGTGGTGATGGAAGATCTGCCTATTGTGGGATACAAAGGGGGCATTCCTGGTTTGAGAGGCACAGCCAAGTACTTCACAAACAACTGGAAGAAACATCATCGAAGGTAGCATGTACTTCCGCTGGAATGTTTTAAAAAATTCCAATTGATCAAGTGTTAAGATTTGAGATGTTTTCAGTTCCAGAACATATTTTGCATCAAATCCTTTATTCACGAGTGTGCTCTTGCATTCAAACTCTGCAATTTCATTTCCCCTGTTCTTTTTTTTTTCTGCTGGAGAGATTATGTGTAGATTTGTAAGGTTCTACAAATATTGTGGGAGAAAATTTTACTGTGCAAGTTCATTGGTACTTTTTTGAAGCCTTTGATCAGCCAATGCTATATTTTCTCCAGAGACCATGTTAAGGATCTGGTGCGGAAGTATCAATCACACTTGATTCAAAAGCATCATACACTACTTGAGGACCTCTTTGAGGAGCACAGCTTCACCAAGCTCTACAGCTTTACTCATATTTTAAACGGGGCTGCTGTACGACTAACCTCTCACCAGGTAAATCAGTTATAAGTTTGAGTAGGTTGAATTCTTGCAACCATTGAGCTGTTCTCGAGAAAAAAAATAATCTCAGATGTTCTAAAACTTCTAATTGATAAAACATCCTTGTTTAGAGTTTGGTGACCTGGATGGTGTAGTAGGTTGGTGAGTTTCTTTTATTCAAGAGATTAGTCTGTCTAGCACTCCGATCTTGATCTTAATACTGTATATTATTTCTAAGCCGGAAAACTTGTTGTTTGATCCCTTGTAGGCTGCAGTATTGACCAAGCATCCCTCAGTGGTGCGGGTTGAGAAGAGCTACACAGTGAAGAAGGCAACGATTCATACTCCAGATTATCTCGGGCTACCCCAGGGAATATGGTCAGAATTAGGTGGAGTCGCAGGTGCAGGAGAGAACGTCATTATTGGAATAGTAGACACAGGTATCGATCCCAAACATCCTAGTTTCTCAACTTCGGGACAGAAGCCTTATGGTCCTCTAAAGAAGTATCAAGGAGTGTGCGAGGTTGCCAAAGAATTTCCTGCTGGTTCTTGTAACGGCAAAGTCATTGGAGCTCAACATTTTGCTGCTGCTGCTAGTCAAGATGGCGTATTTAATGCCTCCCTTCATTTTGCATCCCCTTTGGATGGTGACGGCCATGGAAGGTTATCATTTTTCTTCACTTGGGTTTGCTCTTTTTACACGTGCACGTGATAGGCTGAATCCGACATTAATTTAAATGTTGCTATAGTTTTTCCAATTATGGCTATTTAATCGAAGATTTTAAGTCGCGGTTCCAGCTAATCGAAGGGGGCCAAGCACTGAGACTTACTGGTAGTAGTTTAATACTTACTGTCAAAAATTCATAGCCCAGTGTGGTGTATTTGTTGCAGTCATGTAGCGTCTATCGCAGCTGGAAACTGGGGGGTGCCAGTCATTGTCAACAATGTCACATATGGTAAAATTAGTGGCATGGCTCCAAGAGCGCGGTGAGTTGGTTTGGAATGTTGGTTAAAGTTTTTGGTTGTCATCTGGATCTCACTTCTCGTGACTAATAGTGCTCATTATTATAATCTCAATACTTGATAGATATGATCAGGATTCATAAATGTTTTTGTTTTTCAATAGAAGCATTGGCCAATAGCATACGATTACAATAATGAATAGCTACGTTTCGTTACAAAACTAACAGAAATTTTTATCGTTTAGGATTGCAATTTACAAGGCATTATATCCTTTGATCGGGGGTTTCATACCGGATGTTATCAAAGCCTGCGACAAGGTTCATTTCTTGTCAAAATTACTTGCTCACTTTTATCTTATTCGTATACATGACATAGTCTGTTATGTAGCCATAGTACATAACTGTTATGTAGTGATATTTAAAAATAAATAAAAAATAAAATTGTCTATGCTCCAGGCTGTTGAGGATGGAGTGGATATTCTGAGCCTGTCTCTTGGTCCAAACAGCCCACCTGGAGGTTCAACAAGTACATTTTTGAATATCCTAGATGTAGCACTCCTTAATGCCGTCAAAGCGAACATACTTGTTGTTCAAGCTGCTGGAAATGGGGGTCCTTTTGCTAAGACGGTGACATCATTTAGCCCCTGGGTACTATCTGTAGCGGCGGGAGTTGATGACAGGACTTTTCCGAACTCTATTACACTTGGAGATAAAAAGGTTCTGAAAGGAACTGGACTAGCTCGTAAGATAATTCGAGAACTTGTTGGTTTATTTTTCCTAAATATTGGGGATCGATTGTGTCTCACAGTCTCGATATTCATGTCAGTGATTTATGTTAGACCGTGCATATTATGAGCAGCGTTTAGTAAGTGGTTGGTAGAATTGACTGATCGTGGACAGTTTTTGTAATAACAGCGGCGACAAAAGGTCCAGGATTCTATCGTTTGGTTTTAGCTGCAGATGCAACGCAAGGTCAAGGTAGTCCGCTATTCTCCCCGAGCGATTGCCAAGAGCCTTCTTTATTCAACAGAGCTGTTGTCAGTGGTTCACTCCTCATTTGCACATACGGCTTCAGTTACATCTTTGGGGGCAGTACATTGCAACAATTAGTTAAGACTATTGAAGCTGTCGGAGCAGCTGGGGTGGTGTTGATTGTGGACAGTGATGGGCCTGGCAGTAAATTTGACCCTGTGCCCCTCCGAGTGCCAGCCATTGGCCTTCTAAACCTTGCTGATTCAACGGTATTCATCTATTCATGAGAATCAGATTTAAATTCAAGAACTGGCTTGATCACGCATAAGCTGATTCTCGAGATGATCTTAGTCTACTCTTCAATATTTGTGTATTAATAAGAGTCATTTAATATGAAAATGAATGCTATGGCAGGCCCTTCTGAGTTACTATCAAACAAATACAAAGAAGGATCAAACCGGGAAAGTGGTCTCATTTGGAGCATCTGCAAAACTAGGAAATGGACAAATCATAGGTTACACTGGCGTGGCTCAAAAAGTAGCCATTTTCTCCTCGAGAGGACCAGACGTGAAAGATTTTGACTTCAATGAAGCCGATGTCCTGAAACCAAATGTCTTGGCACCCGGCTTTTTAATCTGGGGAGCTTGGACCCCAATCGGCATTGACCAGCCTGCCTATCAAGGTTACCCTGCGCCTAATGATTTAACTTTTATTTGAATTTTAATTTTCCATCTAGCGCACATTACTTCGAGGACTTAACAAAATGTGATGTTTCGCTGCAAGCAACAGTGCTGAAGCCATAAATGAATCAAGAGAGCGGTGCTGAGATGGTTTGATAGTCAATTTGTAGGTCAACAATTTGCTATGATTTCGGGAACAAGTATGGCAACACCCCACGTGGCGGGACTCTCTGCGCTGCTCAAAGAGAAATATCCAACGTGGAGCCCAGCTGCTCTCTCTTCAGCCATAATCACCACGGCTGACGTCCAAGATAAACAAGGGCGATCTCTTCTGTCTGAACAGCTGTCTGGAGGCTCGACACCTTTTCTGCAGGATGCTACACCGTTTGATATGGGAGGCGGTGCCTTGAACATCAATGCTGCGAGAAATCCAGGTCTCATCTTCGAAGCAGGTGATTATTCTCCCATCTTTACATTGACTCTGCGAATGTGCTCCTCAGAAAACTTCAAACCAGTTCTTTGTAACCGATGCATTCCATTATAATTGTATCGATAGGAATATTTGTAACAAACTCGTATCCTATTATCTTATTCTCTGCCAGATTGTTGATTACTGACGATTAAAGTCGTCAAATAGTAGGAGTGGCTAACATTTCCGTTAAAACATGTAACAGGTTATTTGGACTACGTGAGGTTTCTATGCTCTGGAAACATTTCCAACCCCAAAGAAGTGTTCGCTGCCACAAAGACTCCTTGCCCTCCAGCTCCTGGTATGCCGTCTGACCTCAACACGCCGTCCATCACCTTTGCTACTCTTGTGGAAGCCAAAACCGTCTCCAGGACTGTCACAAACCTCATGGTCACTGGAGAAACTTACACCATCACATGGACAAATCCGGCTGATGTTGTCATCACCGTCACTCCCTCACAATTTACGATTGGAATTGGTCGTCAGAACAAGCAAACCATCAACATTCTTTTGCGAGTTACACTGGCATCACAAATGGCATCATTTGGACAAATCAGGTTCAAGGGGTCCTTAGGTCATGCATTGCATATTCCAGTGTCCGTTGGAGTTAAGGAAATTTGAAAGAGTGCACCTTTCCTAATGTAACGCCAGGATTTGTGCGGCTTAATTGTCTTAAGAGATCAGGCTCTGATTACAGTTTCTGATTCATTGGGATGTCTCATGGATCACGAGTTACCCTCCAATTTTGTTTGGAGTGTGTACATACAGATCATTTGGACTGTATACAATTTTGTTTGGAGTGTGTTCATACAGAACTGGGGACTGGGATTTGTTTGTCCACACATTTACAGAGGGAAGTTGTGCTTCTATATTTACCTTCATTGATTGTTGCTCAACAATAAAAATGGATATTAAAAATAGAATCAACGAACAAGGACATTGAAAAGTTTAAAGATTTGAAAACATCTGCAAAGAAGAAAATGCAGAAAAATATTAGGGAATTGTGTAAAAAAAAAGGGAAAAAAAAAAAAAAAAAAAAAAAAAAAACGAGTTTATATCTAAGTAATATTGTGTGTAATTGAAGAATGCAAATTTTACCAATTTAATATTCTTTTGATATTGTGGAAAAAAATAAGGTTGATGGATTAGTGTATTTGCAAACCAAGAAAGCTTCAAAAATTAAAATACCGAATTTTTAGAATACACAAGTATTTGTACATAGTTATAGATGAATCTAAGTAGAAGTAATGATTTCATTGTAAATATATCCTCTATTTCTTTTAACTTAAAAGAATTAAAAAATTTATGGTTTTAAACAATTAAAACAAAAACATATGTCACTACAAAGAACAAGATCTTGACTATAAAAGTTAACAAAGACACTTTAAAGAAACTACAATATAGAGAGGATATATTCTAAAAGAATCAGTCTTCTAATTTGCATCAATGTTTAGTATAAAAGTATCAATTATTTGGAGAGTTATATAAGAATTACATATTTTTATATTATAATTAAGCTCCTTAACTTCCAAATTATATAAGTTATAAATAGGTATTTTATATATAGAATACTTTTATTTATTAAACTTTCACCATTATTTGTGATTAACATATAAATTTATAATTAGACTTTAAAATGTAACAAATAGATATAACATCAATCTTCTAAATAAAATACAATAAAATAAAATAAAAATCCCTGTAAACTAAATTGATAGAATTGTGCAATGATATAAATATTAATTTTTATACAAGTTTTAAAAAATTATTCTATAGTCTTCAATAAGTATTAAAATATGATATCATTGCATTGATATATATATAAATATATATATAATTATTAAAGTTATCATAAAGAATAAAATAAGTTAATAATTATATATAAATTAATAAAAAAATCATATTAATTAATTATATATATATATATATATATATATATATAATAGAAATTTGTGCTTTAAGTTGCAAAAAAGCTAAAAAAAAAGTTTAATTTGTGATTGATAAGTTACAAATTGACTATTCCTAAAGAAATTTTGGTCAAGAAAAAATATATATACATGTATATATAACAATTATATATACATGTATATATAACAATTATATATACATGTATATATAATAATATAGATGTATATTTATAATAATTAATGATATTTTAGTTTTAAAAGTAAATAAAATTCTATTGTAATTTTCAAATACGTCTTTATAAATAAATGGTGCACTTAAAAAAATGCATATTTAACTCAAATTACTTTATAATTACTACTTAAAATTTTATTTAGTATTTGTTCTATACTATAGGAGTAATAGATAAAGAGCAAACTTTTGTTATTCATGCATTTAACTACATCCACCTTAATTTGTAAATTTATTTTTGAAAAATAAGAACTAAATAGAAAATTAATAGTAATCATATTCATAATAATACTACCTACTTGTTTACTCGAATTTTTATGTTAGTCTTAAATACATTTTTCTTCAAAGATTCTTTAATATCAAGCATTTTTGAAAAAAAAATATTCAACTTGGATGCATCTATCTTATTGTTGCTCCAAGCAATATATATATATATATATATATATATATATATATATATTGTTCTTTGATAGTAAAGTTCACACTTAAAAGCTTGGGATTGATATACTCCTTATACATATCCATAATCTTGTTGCGATTTATTACTCTAAGATTGACAAAGTTGCACATTCTTGTCAAGTTGCACTTTGCAATCTCAATTGAAATTGGTATAGGCACATTGAAGACTGTCATATTGCTGAAGATGTTTATATGTTTTTTGTACCTCACAATCTTTAAGATAAAGTTACATAGATTTTACAAGTTAGAAGAAATAGGCATTCAAACTCCTTAATGTGTACATATTATCAAACTCATTCAATAGATTGAAGGTACAATATAAGTCATTATATTGCTCATAAGCTATTATTCAACATATTTCTTATAATATGTTATTCAACAAATAGCATATATAAAATGTACATATATTGTCTAAATTTATTCAAGAAATTGAGGTTATAGATGTTATATTTCAATTTATTTGCCACAAGTGCAATTAAAGAGCTTGTGTCTTTGTCTAAAAGGCTATACAAGAAATATCTTTTCTTCCATGATTATACAACTTTTTTAAGATGTGCTTCTGCTTCCACAATTACTTTGAGATCTGCCAAGAGTCACTACTTAGAATCTAATTTCATGGCCAATGTGCCAAAGGTTAAAAGATGCTTAAATGTGTGCAGCTTCTTACAATTGTTATTGCAATTGTAGAGGTACAACTTGCGTATTTGATGCTTATATTTTTTTTCACTCTTTGCAATGTGGTCCATATAGATTGTTGTAACAAAAAACTTATCTATTTTTAGTATCTTCAAAATATACTTCTCTTCTTTTCTTTTGTCTCTATTTTTTTTTTTTTGATTTTTTTGCAACAAACATCCACCATAGTTGTACCTCTTTGTACTAATCCAATATAGCTTCATCACTTTTTTTAACCAATATTAAAGAATTTTTGAGTAAGCTACTGAAATTTTGAGGAATTTCAGCTAGGAGAGGAGGCCATTACAGCCTCACTTGTAAGTATATCTATGATTTTTGGAGCATTGTGATCTTTCAAGAGGTGCAAATTATTAGCTCTCTTGAGAATTTGCTTGGCTCGTAAGTGCATTTCTACATAGTAGAGATGTTGGATATGTCTCTAGATATTCAATTTGTTGAAGTGGAATTGAGAATATTCTTCCTTCTTCTGTAATTTCTTCAATATTTCCTTCATGTAGTGTTTCAATTAATTGGTAAAATTTTGTAAAATATGCTTCTTAAGCATCATCATTCTTATGAGTATGAATGTTATAAATCTTTCACTTGAAAAAATTATTATCAAATATTTATAATTATGTAAAAATTTCTACTTAATTCTTCTAAATAAATTGTCTTCAGCCCTCCAATCTTCTATCTTCATTGTGTCCCTAAACACAATCCTCTTATCCAATGCAAAAATAGCTTTAGATCTTGCAAAAGAAATAGGATGATGGATTCTAACTAAAAACTAAGAATAATAGTGGGAATGAAAAGAAAAAAGTACAACACTTTAGTATGTAGGCCACAATTATTCTACTAGACAAAGAAGCAATTATTTGAAATCCTTAGAGTTCCAATACATTGTTTCCTAAAGATAGTAATAATTCCAACCACTTTGTGTTTCTCAAGTTTCTCAAATTTTTTGCATTTCTTTCTTTATGACCAATCAAAATATTTCTTTTTCTCTTTATTTTATATCAAAGCTACCTTACATAATAAATAATTTAATCATCTTGACAAAAAAATAAAGAGAATATGAAGTAAATAAAATTTAAAATAAAAACTATATAAAATAATTTAATTTAAAATTTTTATAAAAATTGCATGAAAATTGCATTACAACAAGCTACTACAAGTATGTTAAAAAGTTATTAAAATGATTTAATACAAAATAATTCAATTTATTGATATTTCTTTTTAAAAAATTGGAAGTTGATGAAATGTTTGTACAAAAAACCTAAAAAAGTGAAGAATAACATATATAATGTATAATATAAATAAGTAAATAATTCACTCATATAAATATTAATAAGAAAAATAACTTATCTTACATCAAAATTATTAAATATAATATATGTGTATTTTATATAATATAGTATTTATGATTAAAAAAATTATTCATTCAAGAAAAAAATCAAATAATTTGATATTTTATAAGTACTATTGATGCATACATTTATATAAAAAATAAATTCTTATTTAAAAAAATAAAAAATTAGAATAAATTTACATTAAAATATTTTTTAAATAAAAAAAATAAATTTTTAAATAAAAATAAAAGAATTACATATAATATATCATGAAAAAAATTAAAAATGACATAAATCATTTTATGTATATTATTTATTATAAATTTATCTTAAAGCTATTAGTATAAATATAAATTTTATTTTGTACTTTAAATAATAAAACTTACAATATTTGAAACATAAAGATGTGCAAAAAGAAGTGTTCATGCAAAAAAAGAGGGATAACTACCTAATAGCTTTTTAAATGTAATTACTAAATAATTTATTTTTAAAAATATTTTTTTTCTTCTTCTTCTTCTTAAATTACCTTCAAAAATTCAAAAAACAAATTATACACATGTTGCACACCTAATCAACAATGATTAATCCAAAGTTGTTGATAAATTATAATATCTAATATTCAAGGTTGATAATATTATAGAATTTATTTTCAAAAAAATATAAATTAATTCTAATAATGATTAAATTGATCCATCTATTAAATCCATCATTAAATCCCTTTGTCAAGGACATGAATATTAAAAAAGTGAAATCTCAATATACTTGTATGTCATTCAAAAAGACTAAAAAATCACTCAAAGATGGTAATATGTTGAATTAGAATGGCTATTGCCAAAGACAAGAAGACTAAAAAGTCTTGAAACAATACTGAAGAATAAAATGGCATTCACAAGAGTAAAAAAAGCTTCACTCTTGCTTCTATATATACTATCCAACTAAGAGTTATATAACAACACCTTATAAGATCTCCAATACAAGTCCAATTTTTGAAACATGTGTCTTAACTTGCAAAATAAGTTTTCTTATAGATGCCACATTGTTAGCTTATAATACAAGCTATCTATGTGTGCAATATATGGCTAACTTGTTGGCCAAGTTTCTAACCTACTAAACAACTATAAATATGTATAAAATCAAATACGCATCTATAAAGCTTCTAAGAAGTTTTTTCATAAGATAATATCAAATCTACTTAT